CGCTCCCACATTTATTCGCTTAGTGTCGAAATTTTCGATTTTTTATATTCCCTAAGTTTTCATTCTCAACTCGGTTGAGCCCGCCGTTTGAATGCAAATTAGTGATTTGTGTTAAAACCATCGTCTTTATAAAGATATTGAAAAATAGTTACCGACGCGAGTGCGTTGTGCATTGTTGTTGTTTTTTATTTACATTGTCGTTTTGGCGCTCTCTCGCACCGTTTGTTCTGCTCATCTCCCAACTTCAGTCACCGGCTCTCATTTTCGAGTTAACGGTTCTTTGCTGATTTGGTCTTATCGCGCTCTTTCTTTCCTCTTATCGCGCTCTTTCTTTCCTCGACGTCCTCATAGCCACACAGCTGTTTGTTGGCACTCAACTAAAGCTTTCTGTTTACATTTCTCTACATTCCACATTCTACATTTTTATACCCGTTACTCGTAGAGTAAAAGGGTATATTGTATTCGTGCAAAAGTATGTAACAGGTAGAAGGAAGCGTTTCCGACCCCATAAAGTATATATATTCTTGATCAGGATCACTAGCCGAGTCGATCTAGCCATGTCCGTCTGTCCGTCTGTCCGTCTGTCTGTCTGTCTGTCTGTCTGTCTGTCTGTCCGTCTGTCCGTATGAACGCTGAGATCTCGGAAACTATAAAAGCTAGAAGATTGACATTTTGCATGCAGATTCTAGGAGTTCCTACGCAGCGCAAGTTTGTTTCAAAAGGGTGCCACGCCCCCTCTAACGCCCACAATCGCAAATATACGATTTTAAAAATTTCAATATTTTGGAAAAGTAAAAATGCAGTTTTATTGTGTTTATCAATACCTATCGAAATGTAGAAGAAATTTTTTAAATCGGACCATTCGTTAAAAAGTTACGGCGGATCAAAGTTTTTCTCCATCTCTTTCGCACTCCCTTTAGCTGAGTAACGGGTATCTGATAGTCGGGGCACCCGACTATAGCGTTCTCTCTTGTTTATAGTCTATTTACACTGGGGTGGAGTTATGGAGTTATGGGGTTATTGACATAACCCTGTTTTTTTACATAGGATTTGTATAGGCAACTAGGTGTGGGCAAAAGTGGGGTACTATTAGGGTCTTTCGTATTTCGGAGTATTTTTTTGTATATTTCGGTATATTTTGTATTTATTTCCTATCGTTGAAGGTCCATCCCTAGTCAAATAAACAACACAAACAACAAACACTAGATGTCATCACTCGATATGTGGAGTTAACCCAGTGGAAACACTTTTTTGGAGTAATCGGGTTATTGGCTTACTCGATAGGTTACCCCACACAGTGCGACTAGACTATTATCTTACTTTAACTTGTAACAATGTCTGCTTGCTGTGTTGTTGGTTGCCAATTTACTGGCAAAATCACTTCTCGTCAGCCGATTGTTAATTGCTGGTTATGTGAGAACATCGCGCATGCTAGATGTGTTGACTTTGGGCATAGTGCGGCCCAAATTGCGGATCGTACTAGGTCTAATGCCAACCTGGACTGGACGTGCCCTACATGCCTACATATCAAAATTGATATTAGATCATTTATGAGGCAAATGGAGCTTGAGTTCCAGGCCTTACGTGCTGGATTTACGGACTTATTAAGTCGGTTTAATGTTTTCGACTCAAACTTTAAAAGTCGTATCCTTCTTAATCAAATATCTTTAAATATAAATCGTAATCCTACACTGCCTAATATTTCTCTACATGTTCCAGATCTCTCGAGCAACCTCTCTCTTCCCAGCCCCACTGCAAGCTATATGTCGTGCGATGAGGACGATCCCAATGGGAGCGAATAATGGTCCTATCTTGTTGACCTTCCTGTTGATGATGCAGTTGGGTATTTTTATAAAGTCCTTTATCGACTATTTGATGTACATGTCCCTCTTTCCTCCTTGAAGAATTCGTATAGCTCTCCATGGTTTACTCGTCAACTATCCTATCTAAAAAATAAAAAAAACAGACTTTTTAAACGGTTCAAAATTTCTGGCTTGCTGACGGACTGGGCCAAATATAGTTCTGCTAAGGCGGAATTTGTCCAGCACAATTCTGACTGTTATGAAAATTACCTGTCTCGTTGTAAGCGTGATTTCAAAAGTAATCCTACACTTTTTTATTCTTTCGTCAATTCTAAGCGGAAATCTAAACCTTATTCTCTTTTTCTTAATAATAATATAGCATCTGATGACGATGATATTTCCAACCTATTTGCTGATTTTTTTCAATCGACTTATACGGAATGCAATGGTGTTATTAATAATGATTATCCATACCCACTACCTCATCTGAACTCTATCTTCAAACCAGTGATTAATGTATCTGATGTTCTTCAGAGTCTTGATACTCTTAAGCTCTCTTTTTCACCGGGTCCTGACAAAATACCAAGTTGTATACTGAGGAATTGTTCGTCCTATCTAGCTTTTCCCTTAATATTAATATTTAATTTGTCAAGGAAGATTTCCATCCATATGGAAGGAATCGTTTATTGTTCCATTGTTTAAAAAAGGGAACAAGTCAGATATCTCAAATTATCGTGGTATTGCAAAACTCAGTGCAATTCCTAAAATTTCCGAAAAAATTATTACCTGTCAGTTGCAGCATCATTGCCGGTCTATTATTTCTCCGTGTCAACATGGCTTTACTAGTCGTCGCTCTACTTCTACAAACCTACTAGAATTTACATCTTTAATTACTAGAGGCTTCCTGTCACATCATCAAACTGATGTGATTTATACTGATTTTTTTAAAGCTTTTGATTCTGTGAACCATAAACTTCTTATTTTTAAATTGTCCCGTTTAGGGTTTCCTCCAAACCTACTTGACTGGATACTTTCCTACCTTTCTAATAGAACTCAAATGGTCTGTTTTAACAATAGAATTTCCAAAATAATTACACAGGGTAGCCACCTGGGTCCTTTACTCTTTGGCTTAATGATTAATGATCTACCTAATGTTATAAAATCGTCTACCGTTTTAATGTATGCAGATGATGTCAAGCTTTGTTTGTCCATGTGTTTACCTAGCTCATTTAATGACCTTCAATTAGATCTTGACTTTTTGTATTCGTGGTTCATGATTAACATGTTAAATTTAAACTATTTTAAATGTAACTTTATGACCTTTTATCGTTGTAATCCATCTCTGTTTTCTTATTCTATTGGAAATAACGCCCTTGAACGAATTTTATCAGTTCAGGATCTTGCCGTTTTATTTGATCATAAACTTAGTTTTAAAGACCATATATCTACTATATCTAATAAAGCCAGAAGTCTTTTTACATTTATGAAACGTTGGTCAAGGGAGTTCGATGATCCTTACACAACTAAGCTTTTGTATGTTTCTCTTGTTCGTCCGTCTATGGAATATTGCTCTTGTATATGGTCTCCTCAAATTAGCTGTAACCAATCCAAAAACAATTCCTTTTATTTGCTCTGAGGGGATTACACTGGGACACAGGTAGTCGACTGCCCTCTTATCTTGCGAGGTTGCGCCTGCTCGACTTACCAACCCTCTACCATCGTAGAAAGTGTCATGGAGTTATGTTCTTACATAAACTTATTAATGGTGATGTCGACTCCCCTTTCCTTCTTAGTTCATTTAACTGGAATGTACCCTGTAGAACAGTTCGCCGTAATTATGCCCTGCATGATCCTTTTCGTGTTCTATGTGACGACTATAATTCACTGTGCCACGTCTTACTGTTTGATACCCCCAATGCTACTAATTATAATAAACTAATGTATTTTCTGTCTTCAAATAATTTATAAATTCTTTGTAAGCATGTATTTTAAACTGTCTATTGTTAGATCGAATTTTCTCCATGTCCGCGATTCCGCTTACTTGCCCAAAACTGTTTAGGGCTCCGCGCGTAACAAGCTTTGCTTGGTGTCGTAAGGGCCACTTGTTTGTACTGACCATAGTGCATCAACGTCCAAGAAAAAAAAAATATTATATGTTAATATCAGCTAATATAATTTTTGCAGTCTTTTGTTAAAATTTGTTTTGGCAACTATCACAACATATCGACAAAGTTTTAAAATATTTAAAAAAAATAATTTAAATATTCACCCTGAACTGGACTTAAAACCTTGTTGTTATCCCTCATTTTGTGGAGGTGATACTTATCCACTACAAAATGTATTTACTTATGTACTGTTGGCCGGAAATGTATCAATGTGTAGATCGCCTACTATTAAATCATGTGTTTTGTTCTTTCTGCGACGCAAATTAATAAATTAGTCATACTTACAGTGGCCGTTAATACTTGGAAAAATTCTGAAAAAGAAGCCAACAGCTTACATACTAAGCCAAATTTTTTATACCATTTTTATCACCTACACAGCCGCCACTAAACGACTTTGAGTTTTATTTTTGATCAAAATAGTTTTATTTTTGATTAAAATAATAAAACTCAAGGAATAACTGTTATTTTTCAAGCGGAAAATAAAACTCAGGGAATAAGTTTTATTTGTCAAGTTTTATATAAAACTCACAGAATAACGATTATATTATAAGTTTTAAGTCCTTTATGACAACCTCTGATTCCCATTATGCTATAGCAAAATCTGAAGGCATATAAATATTTAAGTAGCTTAGCTGAGTTTTAATCTCTCTTGTTATACCCGTTACTCGTAGAGTAAAAGGGTATATTGTATTTGTGCAAAAGTATGTAACAGCTAGAAGGAAGCATTTCCGATCTTATAAAGTATATATATTCTTGATCAGGGTCACTAGCCGAGTCAATCCATGTCCGTCTGTCTGGGCTACGCCTCCTCTGTCGCCCACTTCAGTTTTATTGTGTTTATTAATACCTATCGAAATGTACAACAATTCTTTCAAATCGGACCATTCGTTAAAAAGTTATGCGCGATCAAAGTTTTATATCTCCATCTCCCTCGCACTCCCTTTAGCTTAGTAACGAGTATCTAATAGTCGGGGCACCAGACTATAGCGTTTTCTCTTGTTTTTGACTCGACTAGTACTGATCCTTCGAGTAATCCTGTAACATGATACAATTAAATTTATTAGATTTTTAAAATTAGAAACAAATAAAAGCCATAAAGAGAGCGCATCTTCTTACTAGTCTGTCCTATTGTTCAAATAACCAATCGGATCCCACTCCACCGGTTGCGTTAGCTGTGCGTAGTTTTGCGAGTCTTGGATCCGTAGCAATCCCCGTCTTTGCGGATCTGGGGATCAGCAGTTCATTGGGAAAGTGTTTTTTGTTTTTATTTAGCTGAAGCGTGAAAGGCGACTTTCGACACAGGAGCATGTTAGCTTCAAACATTTTTCTTTCAGCGTCTTGCCTCTGCAGGTCCTCACTAGTAAGTGAACTGCTCGGTCGAACGTCATGTGTCTGACCTCTAGGAATTGGAACCTTCTTCGCAAACGTCGGCCGATTTAACCTGGTTATAAGCCCTCTGTTGGCACAATTTTTCTCGTGTTGATCTTCATCACCATCTGAAGAGCTAATTTCAGTATCAAGTTGTTTCGGGTAACCGACACTGTTTAAAATTTTATTCTGGCGAGGGGGTAATCTAAACTTGCACTCGTTCTTGAGCCGCTGTATTATATTTGCACTAGAAGTTTCGAGACTGGTACCTTGAAAGTCGGTTATACGAGTCATACCTATTTTTTCCCGTGTTCGCTGACTAACAGCAGGTTCTTTATCTTCTTTACTGCCATTTACCGACTCTTCAATTGCAGTTATGCGCGCTGTAATTTGTTTTAATTCTGCTTCAAAAGCCAGGATCTTTTTCACAGTCTCCTGAGCCTGCTTAGCGTTGATTTGGATGACAGATTCGACCAAATTGCGTGAGATGAGTTTGTTAGCAATATCCTTCAGATCATCCAGTTTAACGTAATCGCTTGAATTTTCTAATAATTCGTTACTTCCTTTAATAGCCCCCCTTTGAATAGTTTCCCTACTTAGAGTGGTTTTAGTCATGGCCTTAGAAATTTCGTGGCGAACCAATTCCGTAATAGAAGAGGTAAGGCTGCATTTTTGACATGTAGGTACTAGAACATCACCATCCAGAACTGGGGATACTGTAACGTCAGTGGAATTGCATGACGTAGTTCGTTGCGCAATGTAACTTTTCACGTTGTCTTTGTTATGTTTACCACAATTCGCCATTTGCTTTGCCCTGCCTTTTTTCACTGCCGAGTGTACTTTTTTCCTTCTGGTTTGACTCTTTCCAGACATTTTTTGGTTAAATGACAATGAATTTATTGTGTGTTATTAGATATATGTAGATACATATAATAGTTGTTCTTAGAAATTACTTTTCTACGATAGCCTACTGGATAAAAATATAAATATTCTTGATCAGAATCACTACACAAGTCGATCTAGCCATGTCCGGTCCACATTGGTATGAAATTTCTGTTGCTACACTAATAAACAAAATCGCTCTGTGAATTTCATCCATCGCGCTATGGGGAAAAACTCATTTTTTTTTTGGCATAAAATCAACTTATTTTACAAATTATTTTTTAAAAATAAAATATATTTTGTGAATTTACATACCTTAATTAGCCAAGAACAGTTATCTACGATTTTTTACTAACAACACTTTAGTGTTGATAAACGAACAAAGTCAGCTGTTCGATTGACTTTGTTGTGTGCGTAAATTAGTGAAAAATCTTTGCAAACTTTCAGTGCTTATTTTGTGGAGCAACAAAATGGTTTATTATTTCTGATCATGTCAAATCGTATCAAAGGTATTTATAAATGTATCTTAGATTAGATGTTTTGATTATTATGGCTTGTTGTCCAACTGTGAACTGTTTGAAATGTGTATCTTTCTAGCTTAAAACTAACAAGTTTGTTTGTGTTCCGTGGTGTACAACTTATAAATGGCACAAAGTTGCAAAAAGGTAAAAACGCAAAGTTATTACCAAATGTATCCTTAATATCGCAAAATTAATAATTTTTGCAATTTTTTGCACGTTTCTTCAAAAAAGGACTTAAATCCAGCAACTTATAAACATAAAAAATTTTTTTTTAATAAAAAAACAATCTAAGTGGCTTTCATTAATCTTAAAAATTGAATTTATGGAAAGGGACAAGTCAAGTGAAAATCCTGGCTGCAAAGGGCTCAAATATAAAGAAGCTGGACCCCCGTTAAAGCTAAAATTGGCATCTGCTCTTAGATAATATTTCACTTTTCTTGTATATGTCAGCAATTTTTTTTTTTTTTTGACAAATTTTAAAAATTAACGTAAACCGAAATTATTTTACCGTCTTACCAATACAAATACAAATTTTTTGAAATCCCTGCCAATTAATTTTAATATGCGGCGTGGGCGGTGGATGAAAGCAATGGACCGATTCAAAAAGCAACAAAAACCGAAATTACAGCTTTATCTTAATAGTATATAGAAAAGATTTCTAAATTGCATCTCTAAAACTAGAGTTTATGCCAAAATAATAGACTTTTTTCCCATAGTGCAACGGCGACTCGCCAATAATAAATGATTATGGTAAATAATTTTCTTGAATTTACGGTTTTGCCATTCTAAAAATCGTTACCAATTTTTCTGTAGATGTTCTTGAAGTCTAAGCCGGCATGACCTCGAATTCGCTAAAAACTTCTTTATAACAAAAAAAAAAGGTTGTATTAAAAGCTAATCTTTGGACAAAAAACGGTCAACATGCCGTAAAAGGCTTCTATATGGAAGCCTAAAAATATGCATTACTGCATATTCTTTACAATCTGTCACGGAACTCTGATAGAGATCAAAGACAGAACAAAGTCCAACACACACTAAGGGCTTGATCACCTTTTTGAAGTTTACCGCTCTGGCGATGCTATAATTCCCAACCAGTTAAAGCGCGGCTTGCATGGTAAACCACTTCGATCAAGACAGCGATTTCACTGCTGATGATTGTAGTTGGCTACTACATGAAACATGCATGTACAGTAAAGCCTTCTTGAAGTCTAAGCCGACATGACCTCGAGTTAGCTAAAAGCATCTCTATGTTCTTGAAAATATAAAAATTCAATTACACAGTTCGACAAAATCAAGACTTTTCCTTGGCACAAGAATAAACGCTACAAAACCTGAAAGAATTTTAGCTGTAGATTACTACCTCATACTTGGAAACTTTCCATCACGTCGAAGTTTTTAGAAATCCGTGGTCAAAGTTCCAAATTTTCGATTTTTAGGCACTTTTTGCGGCTTAATAGTAAGAAAACCTTTCGTAACCCAGAGCCACAATTAAGCGGAAGTGGTACCTTGAACCTTTAACTTCAAGAGTGTCCAATCACAAAGCTGGGCGACCTCTATTTCTTTAGCTACAATGGATTTTACCGAATTACTTTTTGTCATTATACCCTTGTAGAGGGTATTATAATTTCAGTCAGATGTTTGCAACGCGGTGAAGGAGACGTTTCCGACCACATAAAGTATATATATTCTTGATCAGCACCAATAGCCGAGTCTATCTAGCCATGTCCGTCTGTCCGTCTGTCCGTCTGTCCGTCTGTCCGTCTGTCCGTCTGTCTGTCTGTCCGTCTGTCCGTTTCTATGCGAACTAGTCTCTCAGTTTTAAAGCCATCGCGATGAAACTTTCCCGAAAGTCTTCTTTCTATTGCAGGTAGTACATATGTCGGAGCGAGCAGGATCGGACCACTATATCTTAAGGCTCCCATAGGAATATTCAAACAAATATAAGAAAATTCATTGTAACTTTGTAGGAAGTAGGCGTTTTGATTCTTGACTACTTTTGTATAAACAAAATTAAAATAGAAACGCTGAATCTGGAATCCCTGGAACTGCACCGAGTGAGCATAACTTTATCTACAAGGGTATATAAGCTTCGGCTGGCCGAAGGTAGCTTCCTTTCTTGTTTTTTTTCATCTATAGTAGCCTCTAACGCCCACAATCGACCACTTACGATTTTAAAATGTGTCCTGCGCCCACATCTTTAAAGATTTCCGATAAGTATAAATGCAATTTTGTTGTGTACATTTATACCTATCGAAATGTAGAAGACATTTTTTAAATCGGACCATTCATTAAAAAGTTATACGCAATCAAAATATCTACATATATCTATCTCCCTCGCACTCCCTTTAGCTGAGCTACGATTATAGTCGGGACACGAGCCCGAGCACAGCGTTCGCACTCCCTTTAGCTGAGTGACGGGTATTAAATAGTCGGGACACCAACCAGACTATAGCGTTCACTCTTGTTTTGCATTAAGATTTGTTAACTAAGAGGAACCCCTTCTTCGGAAAAAGGTACATTTTTATTTATTTAATTTAAATTCAAATTTATTATAAATGCATATTAATTACAATGCATTTTAAGTACAGAAAAAACTTTTTGTAAACATATAAAAAGCTTTTTTTTTTTTTTTTTTTTTAAACGCTATTTTATTTATCGAATCTTCTCTCTTTGAGACTAACGACAAGTTTGCAAATCTTAATCTAGTAGAATAACGGCCCTAGCTATTGCTGCTGGGTGGGGAGGTCTCTTCGCCGGAGTCGTGTATAGCTTGTGGTCCAGATTAGAGACCGCGCAAGGTCATTAGGATGGGCCTGGAGCTTGAGATTATACTTTGTTTTCGCTTTGTCGAGTTCGTCTTTAACTAAGCCTATGTTTAGATCTTTATGAATATTTTCATTCCGTATATACCACGGCGCTCCTGTTATAGTTCTCAGTATCTTTGATTGAGCTCTCTGGATTATTTCTAAGTTGCTGGCACATGCGTTTCCCCATAGCTCGGACCCATATGTCCACATTGGTTTTAGGACTGCATTATACAAGAGTATTTTGGCGTTAATAAGCCAATGTAGATTGTTGGCTTTAAATTTTAAATGATTTCTCTTAGCTTCGATATGTTTACGCCAAGTGAGTCGTCTATCCAGGTGGACTCCTAGATATGTTACTTCAGTTGTTTGTGGCATAATAATGTTGTTCAGGGATAGTGAAGGGCAGGTTTGCCTGTTTAGGGTAAAAGTAACATGTTTACATTTTTGTTCGTTAACGTTTATGCGCCAGTCTGCTAGCTATTGTTCTAGAAGCACGAGGTGATCTGCTAGGTGTTGCGTTGCTCTAAGAGGACATTTAGACCGACTTAGGATGGCAGTATCATCAGCGAAGGTTGAGGTTGTTGTAAGAGTGGATGTCGGGAGGTCTGCAGTATAAATAATATACAAGCACACTTCCTTGGGGTACTCCAGCTTTTATTGGATTATAATCAGAGATGAAATCTTTGCATCGCACTGCGAAGCTTCTTTTTTGTAGGTAGGACTCCAAAATTGTATGCGTGCTTTGTGGAAGTATTAATCTGATTTTATGAATTAAGCCGTCCAGCCACACGCGGTCGAAGGCCTGTGCGACATCCAGAAAGACAGCGGAGCAATATTCTCGCCTTTCAAATGCATTTCGTATCTCGGAGGTTATCCGGTTCACTTGTTCAATAGTTCCGTGTTTTTCACGAAATCCGAATTGGTGCATTGGTATTGCATTGTGGGCTTGTAAGTATTGCTTGATACGACTGAGGAGCAGCTTTTCAAATATCTTTGATAGGCACGGCAGAAGGCTGATTGGCCTATATGACGATGGCTGGGACTTGTCCTTTCCGGCTTTATGGATCATTATGATGACAGACTTCCTCCATTGTTGAGGATAATATCCCAAATTCATCATGCTGTTAAATATTATGGTTAGAAGATGTATTGCACAGTTTGGCAGTTCTACAATCATTTTTGGGGTGATGAGATCGTGACCCGGCGCTTTCTTTTTGTCTTGGGACTGTATGATTCTTGTAACTTCTTCTGGATGGTATATAATTTGCGGGCTAGCTTCAGGATTGGAGATTAATGGCAGCACAAAGCTATTCGTTGCTGGAAGTGGTTTGAAGACATTTTCTAAGTGGTGGGCAAATGTATTCGCGCTCTCTTCGTTGCTGCGGGCCCAAGTTCCTGTTTGCGTATGTAGGGGTGATTCACTTTCTATTGGTGGACATATGCCTGACTTAGCTTTCCACAGTGGATATCTTTTGCTATTTGGTGAGAGTTGCTTCATGAAGGATAGTTCATCTCTATTTTTCTCAGCTTCTAGTGCTTTGCGAAGCATGCAGTTGGCTATTTTTAGGCGCTCCTTGGAGGCTGGGGATCTATGGGCTTGCCACTCTCGACGAAGCCTTCTCTTATTGTATAGCAGTTCTTCGATGTGCCTAGAAGCACGTCAGCTGTTAAATGGTTTATTAGATGTTATAG